CCCAAAAAAAAACCCCAATTAAGTTGTACTTAGCCTAATATTGAAGACATTGTATGCCCTCTACTTAAAATATTGAACACAACATGGTGTGGTTCAAGCTCACAATTGTGCATTCTCATGTTGGTTTATCTTGCATTTCTATTTTCTCAGGCTTTGGAAGCTATTGAAAAACTTCAGAAAAATGTTGATACTCTTATAGTGATCCCAAACGACCGTCTGCTTGATATTGCAGATGAGCAGACACCACTTCAGGATGCTTTTCTTCTTGCAGATGATGTGCTTCGTCAAGGTGTACAAGGAATTTCTGATATAATCACAGTGAGTGCTTTACTTGATATACTACTACGCAAAGTTATTTGTAGTATCTTTCAAATAAATCGTCTCCTAGATTCATGGGGGAAATTTCAACAACAACAATAACAAACTAGTTTGATCCCACAAGAGTAGGGTTGGGGGAGAGTGTGTGCACGCAGACCTTACCACTACTTGGAAGTAGAGAGGCTGTTTCTAAGAGACCATGGGGGCAATATCATTGTTTTTAAATAAAAAGTGAAGTTTTCAATGATAGTATGGACCTAAAATTCAATAAGGTAAGAACAACAACCCTCATTCATCAAGAGTCTCATGTTTGCAGATACCTGGGCTTGTAAATGTGGATTTTGCTGATGTAAAAGCAGTCATGAAAAATTCTGGAACTGCCATGCTTGGAGTGGGAGTGTCATCTAGCAAAAATCGTGCCGAAGAAGCAGCCGAACAAGCAACTCTGGCCCCTTTAATGGGATCTTCTATCCAGTCTGCCACTGGAGTAGTTTATAATATCACAGGAGGCAAAGATATAACTCTGCAAGAAGTCAACAGGGTCTCGCAGGTGCACCACAATTTCCCTTTCTTGTACTTTGGACGGAGTATTTTTTATATTATGAAGTTGGAGACATGACTTAACCCTTACTAAAAAAAAGCTTAGCTGGAAGCTCTCTATGAAATATACTAGACCTAGCAAACTCATTGTGTCGGGTTTGTGTTCAGGTTCCCCTAAGGGCCCTATCACTAACGTGACATGCTTATTAAATGTGTTGAAAGTTTCAACCCGACCTGTTTATAAGATAAACAAGTCAACCTGAAACCAACTTGTTAACCCATTTGGTTAAACCGGTTGGGTTCGGGTTACTAATTTTATGGTGTGTTTAATTGATTTACCAATGTGTTTTCATAATTTATACTTCGTATATTAACAATCCAAGTAGTAACGAACTCTCTCGACCGCACTCAACATTTTCGCCTACTAGACACTAGGTATCAATCCAAGCTCAAAGTTTTCCATGCCTATGACCGAATAGGGCACAAAATAACAAACCCACACAACAACAAATAGCCTAAAGTCAAAAGTCTAGGTGATTACATTCCCAAAGTTCAACAGTTACATGCTTACAAGATAAAGACCCCATTTGTGGGATTTTATTGGGTCTGTTGGATTCTCGGGCTATCTGTTTAACCCATTTGGCTAAACAGGTTGAATACCTTTATATCAAGTTGAGTTGTTCAACTTGAACCTAACCCATTTATTCAATTGGGTTACCCGTGTCATCCATTTAATTAAATGGGTTAAGAAGTGGTACCCAAACCCTTCAGGTTTATCAGGTTTTGGTCAGTACTTGTGTCGGTGTCAGCTTTGCCCAGGCCTAAAACATACTCTAGAATCACACATCTGTTTAAAATGTGTCAATATCCCAGAGAGGTAAATACACTAATACAATGTGCTACCAATTGAAGCATCACAAAAACAGTAGTAAATAGACAAGGACTAAGTATCTTCAATTTATGCACAAGATTAGGCCTATGATTTGTTCTAATCGCTTTACTTTTTCAAACCTCTCTATTCTGACTAGGTTGTTACTAGCTTGGCTGATCCATCAGCTAACATTATATTCGGAGCCGTGGTGGATGAACGGTACAATGGGGAGATCCATGTGACAATGATTGCCACCGGGTTTGCGCAGTCATTTCAGAAAACTCTTCTTACGGATCCCAGAGGAGGAGCAAAGGCGGCTGAGAAGGGTGGTGGAGGAAGCCAAGAGAGTGTGCCGCCACTGGTTACTCCAAAGCCATCATCTGTCCCCTTACCTTCTTCTAATTCACAGCCTCCTCTTCGGAAGCTTTTCTTCTAGCCTTAGCTATTTCTAATTCTCTGATTTTTGCTTTTTTTTTCTCATGTCGGGGTAAGATGCTACTGATCATTTATTGATATACCACAAGATATGCACCATTTCTTGTTTGATTTTCAAATGTACATCAAGTTGTTCCTAGCTGAGTCGCTGATGTGTTTTTTTTTAAATAACAAATTCTCCATTTAATCTAACGGAGTACTTGAGGTTTCGTTAGTCTGTCTGATGAGGTCCAAAAGAATAAAATTATATACTTCTTATATCCCAAAAAATAGTTACACTTTCTTTATCCAACAACGTAATTAAGATTAATACAGAGGAAAAGATATATATCTTCAGTCTTAATTTAAGTTGCATGTTCATTATATGCATCGCTAAATTTTAACTATTTTCTTTCTCTGTATTTGTTATTTATTTGATAAAATAATATAATAATGTTACTGCTTGATTTGTAAAATTTTAAAATAGTTTTAAAAATAATTTTACAAAATTAATTTTATAAAATAATTTGATTCATATGATTATATTTTTTTAAAAAAATTATGTAGTTTTAACTATACAATTTTTATACATAGAAATTGTCCTTCAAAAAATTAAATGAATAAATAAACGGAAATTGACAACTAAAATTGGAATTAAGAAAGTAAGGCCATTTTTTTTCAATTTAATTTTATTATTTATTTTTATTAAAATTGGATTAGACTATCGAAAATCAGAAAAATTTTAAATTTAACTACGGAGTATATTAAATCAAATTAGACCTGATTTCAATAAAATCAAATCAAATCTTAATAAATTAAAACTAATTACTACCTCCGTCCTGAATCCCAATTTATCTTACATTTTTTGATTTACGATGTTTGACTAAAATTATTTTCAAATCATTTTATATGAAAAATGATGTAGAATTAAAAAATAAAAATTACATATTAAAATACTACATTAAAAAATCTATAAAACTAGTCGTGATATAACTATTTTATTTTATCTATTGGTTGTTGAAAAAAAAAGAAAGTGAATGAAATTTGGTCATGTGAATAGTAAAAAGACAACTTAATTTGGAACGAATAGGATATATCAGAAGAAGAGAACTAAATAACATAATTTAAATTTAGAAAGAAAGTGAAATATGAGAGTTTCATTATTTTGTGCTTCATTCGGATTATCTTCGTGTATCCAAGTAATCAACAAGGATGACATTGTTTCGATTACTACATTGTTCAGGACATTAATCAACGAGAAAAATTTGGTATATCAAAACTAAATTTTAAAATCGATTTAACTATATTAAATTTTTATCATAATTAAATATATATTTTTATAATTTGTAATCCAAATTTATAAAATATGACTAAAAAGTCAAAACGGGAAGATTATTTAGGGTAGAAATAATATAATTAGAAAAAATATAAAATAATATGAGGTGTTGAATTGAAGATAGATTGATAAATATGATAAAAGAAAAATTATCTCAAATAATCTCACCTTTTCGTGCTCTTTCAAAAATAATCTCACTTTTCACTGTTACCCGAAATAATCCAGCTTTTTGCATGTGTGAGCTTTCGATCACCGTTAAAAAAATAACGGTCACTTAACAGAATTTTTAAAAAAATGCATGTTTTTCGCAAATAAATGAAAGGTTGGATTATTTTAAGTAAATTCTATTTTTTTGTTTTTTAATTTCTAACTTTAAACTTAAATGTATTTTTTAATTATTTTGGAAAAATAATACCAAATTGAAGTTTTATTAAAGAGTGAAACTAATTGTTTTTTCAATAATTGATAATCTGTTAATAATTAAAAATAAATTATTCTACAGAATAGAGCTAATTTATTTATTTCATAACTCACTACATTTTTTTGTAAGTTGCAATTATTTTTCTTGAGTGGTACTTCGAATTACTTTTTGATATTATATTATTATTATTTCTTAAAAAATGGCACTACAAAACTTGTGAATATTTTTTGATAATTCTATATAAATACTTTTTGTGAATCAACATTACAATAATAGTGAAATAACACAACAATTTTTTCTCCGAAATGGAACTTTTAATTTTATAACTCACTACATTTTCTGTTGTATTGCAAATTTTTCATAAACAATACTCCGAAATATTTATTGATAATCTTCTATTGCCTTTATTATTATTTTTCTAAAATGAAACTACCTAATTTGTGATTTTTTTGATAATTCAATTGAAATCTCCCCAAAATAGGAATAATTCAAAAGTTGTGAAAATGGCACAACATTTTTTCTCCAAAACGGCACTAATAAATTTTATAACTCATTACAATTTTGTTTGTGTTCCAATTTCTTTCTTAATTGATATACTAACCAGAGTATCCTGTTATATTTTTAAAAATATTAATTTAAATTTAAAATTTTAAAAAAATAAAATGTAAATTTGTCTAAAATAATCACACCTTTCATTTATTTGCAAAAATAGGTATTTTCTATGGCCGTTAGTTTTTTAACGGCGTTCCAAAACTCGCACACATGCGGAAAGGTGGAATTATTTCCGCTGATAATGAAAAGTGAGATTATTTTTAAAAGAGCGCAAAAAGATAGAATTATTTGAGACAATTTTTCCTATGATAAAACCTAAAAAACATACGGAGTATATAATTAATTTTTAATTAAAAAATAATATATATCCAAAATATATTTGATTGAAGTATATCCAAACTAAAACATATCCGAAACTGAAATCTATCCAAACCAAACTAGATTCCAAACCGAAATATATCCAACTCAAATAGTATCTAAACCAAAATCTATTTGAATCGATTTATATCCAAACTGTGTATGAACCAACTCAACCAAATCGAAACCAAAAAATGTATTGAACCAAATCAAATCCAAACCAAAATTAAACTAATCTGATCCAAACTGAACTGATTATAACATATATCTGAAAGATATCCGAAACGAAAAAATCCAATTCGAAATCGATCAAGTTGACCAGATTGCCACCTCTACTGTCGTCCTAGAGCCTTTTAAATTTGATTTTTTCAAGTCAAATTATATAAACTTTGATTATCAATTAAACAAAAATTATACTCCGTATTAGATATTTCTACAAAAAAAAGTTTTAACAGACTTATCTTACCAAATACTTTTAAAAATTTTATTTTATTATATTAATATGCAATGTAAATTAAATATAATTGAACATCAAATTTTTTCCAATTCAACTTCGAAAAAAATCAAACTGGACAAATATTCTGAAATAAAAGGAGTATGTGATAACAGGCAATTAAGGAATTTGTAATTGCAGAATATTCGACTATTTTTAATATAATGCGTACATAAATTTACAAGAAAAATATTCATATTAAATAATAGAATATTATTAGTATAAATGATGGTATTATGGTACCTGTAAGACAGCAAGATAATACTTGAAATCCATACCGTAGAGAAAGGATAAGAAAGGTTTGGGTCATAGGAAGAGGGACAACTGCGGTGCAAGGGTGAAGGGTGAGAAGCTGTCACCGAAACAGTCGAACAGAAAGGGCATCAAATGCGCAATGTCGCTGTCGCCCTTCTTCAACAAACCTTGATGATGATCAGCCTTTGAAGCTTGACTACTAGTATTATGCCGTCTTCGTCTGTTGACTCTTGGCAAGCTCTCACCTGGTGGGGGAGTGGGCGCGGGGGAATCCGTGGGGCCCGCTTGCAATGATGTTCCTCCATCGGTTATCAACTTCTTTGCTGGGGGTTGTTGTGGCATCGTCATGTTCTCCCCCATTCTACGCTTACCTTCACATTCAATTATGAAGGAAAAAAATTAGTCTATGATGTGCCTCTAAATGCATGTGTGCATTCCAACATTGATATTGAGGGGGGGGGGGGGGGGGGGG